TCCTCAGACCCATTCCGGTGGGGCCGTCTCTCCCATGGCCTGGGACACTCACGATGGGAGCCGTCTCCTTCAATTGGCCTCGGACCCCTCCCGATGAGAGCTGGTCCCTACCATTGGCTTCGACCTCTCCCATTGAGCCGTTCCCACCATTTGGCCTCGGCCCCTTCCGTTGAGCCGCTTCCCTCCCATTGCCTCGGACCCTCTCGTTGAGCCGCTCCTCCAATAGCCCTCGAACCCTCCCGTTGAGGCTGCTCCTCCATTGCCTCGACCTTCACGTTGAGCCGCTCCTCCATCGCCTTGACCCTTCTCGTTGAGCCGCTCCTCCATTGCCTCGACCCTCTCGTTGGAGCCGCTCCTCCATTGCCTCGACCCTCCCGTTGAGCCGCTCCTCCATCGCCTCGACCCTTCCGTTGAGCCGCTCCTCCATTGCCTCGACCCTCTCGTTGAGCCGCTCCTCAATTGCCTCGACCCTCCCGTTGAGCTGCTCCTCCATTGCCTTGACCCTCTCGTTGAGCCGCTCCTCCATTGCCTCGACCCTCTTGTTGAGCCGCTCCTCCATTGCCTCAACCCTCTCGTTGAGCCGCTCCTCCATTGCCTCAACCCTCCCGTTGAGCCGCTCCTCCATTGCCTCGACCCTCTCGTTGAGCCGCTCCTCCATTGCCTTGACCCTCACGTTGAGCCGCTCCTCCATTGCCTCGACCCTCCCGTTGAGCCGCTCCTCCATTGCCTCGACCCTCCCGTTGGGCCGCTCCTCCATTGCCTTGACCCTCTCGTTGAGCCGCTCTTCCATCCATTGCAGAAGCACCTGGAAGTTGCCAAGGGCTCTTTGAGGTTCTTGAGCCTCCAGATGTGAGTTGATCACTCGATGGGAGGCAACCGCGGCGGCAGCAAGAACAGTGCCGTCGTTGGGGGATTGAATGCCTACTCAAGTCAAAAGGAAATGAAGCAGATGGTTAGCTAGTTGGAAAGGCAAGAGAAAGACACAGACAATCTAGCTTACTGAACTCCCTCATCGTATTCTGAGAGATGTAGTTGAGATAGTCAACGTGCTGAGCGATTTGGGACATGGTGGGGGGTTGATTGAACCCAAGTGGTGGAGCAGGTGGGATAACTTGGCGAGCCGTTTGAAACATGGTATCTTGAAACAAAAGAGGAAAGCCTGGGATATATGGCTGAAACTGCTAGGGATGAGTGTAATGAAGGGTATAGGCTGAGATGGGCGCAGGTTACAGCCCTTTGTAAAGTACTCATCCACCCTGCTCTGGTCTGTTTCGATCCCTCTTCATCTTTGTCAATGTCGACCTGCAGGCTATAAAGTATAGGCACTACAACAACGACCGCTGGATTGTACACCTATCAGTTGTGGAACTGTGCCTGTACCTGCTGGTTCCTAGGACACATTAGTCAATTTGATACCTCTTATACAAGGCCAGTCACAACCGTTCACTTCCAGCGTGGTCTGAGCTTTGGAAAGACCCTTCTTGCAGACGGTTCTTGTGTCCGATGATGATTTCCGTTTCATGTTTAATTCATTTCAGTCGATTTGTTGATTTTGTGATACAAACAAGATTTACTGGAACATAAAACGAGCACATTATCCAGGATGAACAATGTAGAATGTGACAAATTGACAAGCCATCAAAGAAACAGAAAAACAAATCGGCAGGGAAAGAAATTAAACTGTCTGCAGGACATGATTGATCGGCGTCATCAGAAGCAATGATAAGTGTGCGCTTAGTGATTTTAGGTTCATTAGGGACTGGCTCTCGTTTAGGAGGTTTTTTTGAACATGACGACAATCACAACTAGGGCCAATCAAGTTCCTGTTCTTTGAGCTTTTGATCGGCCAATTCAAGTTCAGTTAGTTGTGGTTTGTCGTGGCTTGGCTGATGAGGATTGCGGCCGGAATCATGCAGATTTCTGTCCTTGTCCTCCTTCTCTTCATCAACCCAATCGAAAACGCCCTCGTCGGACATCAAAGGCGCGTTGAACCTACGCTCCATCACCCCCTGAGCATCCCTCCCAGAAGTTGGCTTGACAAGAGTTCTGTCGGGCGAGCATGGCATAAATCCTTCAGCTTCCGCTCTTCCTCCAGCTCTTTGTTGGTCTTCTCCTTCTCAGGGTCCAAGCTGATCACCCTCAAAGTCGTCTGTTGCTGCAAATTGGCCTTCAGGAGTGACAGCGTGACTTGACCGGTGATTGACGCTTGCGCCTCCAACAGCTTTAGCTCAGAGTGTTGCGCAAACAGATAGGGCAAACCTTGTGTTGTCGTCGCCGGTGTGGTATGTCCATACCTTTCCATGTATCCTCATTTTTCATATCATTTTACATATATTCTTCCCAGTATTATTTCATATTCAGATTCTACACATCATTTCACCCCTAGTCACCTCTTACAGCTTTTCAGTAGCTTTTATAGTTCTCTAGTTATCACCCCCTCAGTATATTCAGAGTTACAGAACAGGACATTAATTTGTACATACAGTACATATACATTACACATTATATAGCTACAGTCTCTATGTAGAATCACTCATTCATCATGGTACATCACCATTACTACATACTACACTACATATTCAGCATAACCATAACTACATACATCAATCAGGATAACCTTAACTACATTACATCATGTACATATTTCTTTTCACACTGCTTTGACTTTCCATACCTGA